CAACCTGCTTTTCCATTGCCGTCAAAGACTCCAGTGCCTGATATTGTCAAAAAATCAACATATTCCACAAAAAGCCACCCTTCTCCTTTTGGTTCGACTGGTGCTTTTAATGTCCCTTCGACTTGAAGCTCAATAGAACTCTTACAAGGACCTTTGATATTGACTCCAGTTAATAGGTAAGATCCTTTTGGAATCAACACTTTACTTGGAGTGGTCGACGCACATGCCTCCTTCCAGGCATTTGTTAAAGCCTGTAAATTGAATTACTTCATTAAATAAAAAATTGTTTGATGTATAAATTGAAATGATCTATCAAACTAATTACATATATTTACCGCACTAATATCCGCGTCAGGTTTGGCACCATAGGTGGTGATATCAAAAACACCACCGGCACCACCAGTAGCACCACCTGGAGCAGCACCAGGAGCACTACTAGCAGCACCGGCAGCAGCACCGGCAGCAGCGCCGGCAGCAGCACCAACAGCACCAGCAGCAGCACCAACAGCAGCACCAGCAGCACCCGCAGCAGCACCCGCAGCAACACCAGCACCACTAGGAGATTGACCTCCAGCGGTAGACACTAAAAATAACAACAATGGTAATGCGACAAAGTTCGACTTCAACCCCATCCTTTGAGCTCCCTTCTACTTTTTCTTATTTTCTAGTTGTTTAGATTACTACCTTAGAAATTCATATGATTGTTCCAAATGTTCATTCATCCAACCCTCTTTATATACGTGGAGAAAATTAACATTATTGAAAGTTTAGCTAAATTAGTGAAATGAGTGTGTCCCTATTATTAGCTTTTCCTTTATTAATTGCTATGACCATTTCTCATTGGAATTCATTCCTTAAATTTGTCTGAGACAAATATGCATGGCCACACCACGCAATGTGCAACAAATGACGTAAAAAAAAACAAAAGAAAAAAAAATATGGATTTGACTTAAAATCATTGTCTAAAAATATGAACAAGAAAGAGTATTATGTGATACTAAGTAGATTTATGATTGAGGTTTGTTTTGTTTGATTGTTTTTTTTTCTTTTTTTGAGTTCCCAAATGAAATCTCAAGACAGGAATAATTTCTATGGTTTTTATCAAATGCAAAATTAAAATTTAACGATTTCAATCAAATGATTTATGATAATGTAAGGTTTTCAAGGGATTTTTTTGAACAATTAAAGAGATCACTTAAGAGTATAAAAATGAAGATATAATATTTTTAAGGATGAAGAGCAAAAAAGAAGAAACTGAAATAATTTATCTCTCTATATTTTTATATAATTAAGTCATTGCAAATTTAGAGTAGAAACTCTAATATATATATATATATATATATATATAGTCGGTAGGCACGTCATTTTTAAAGTATTTACAAATATAAGATTTTAAAAAATAATTACGTTCAAATATAGAGTAAAGAAAACTTATAAATTATTTATTAACCTTAATAATAGTTATTCTTATCCTTGATTAGATAACCCATCATTAGGTGCAACGTGAACTTAGCTCTAATAATTTTTAGGACAAGAAAATAGAGAGAATAACAAATACAATTGCATGGTAGGTTAGGTTGTTGACCGCAGGTTGCTTTTGGAATATTGATTGTTGATTAATTTGAGTTTTTTTTTAGGATTTGGTTTAATATGATTTTGGTTTTGGTTTTGGTTTGTTGGAATTGAATTTTGGTTTTAGATTTAGCATTGGTTTTGGCTTTGGAATTAGTTTTGGGTTTGGTATTAGTTATGAGTTTTCTATATCAATTACGTCATTCACCCACAATTTCATCGATTTTATGAGTACATGCTCATACTTTGGATAAAAAGAGACAATAGGTACGATTGGTTATTTCATTTTACGACGATGAAGGAGGAGAAGGAGGGGGACACTCGATTTTTGGAATTTCCGAACTTTGCAGCCCGCTTTCTTACCTGGTTGCAATATTCACCCTAGCCCACAAGACACTCGTCCTACTTCTAAATCTCTTACCCATTCTAAAATAAAAACACACACTTTTTTTTTTTAAAGATAAAAGAGAAAAACTAAACCTTGATAATGAGAAACCACTTGGGTTAACCAGCTGGTTCAAATCTCTTTTCACAGGGGTAAAACTAAAAATCATCTTAATGAAAAGCTTCATCTATAAGATCTCTAAAACCCATGAGAGTTCTTTAGCTTTGTTATTTCAAAATATTATTAATGGAACCACAAGTATCCAACGAGGTACTAAATATTGTTAATTAAGTAATTAATTTGTACTAAATGTTTATTTGATAAATTTAGTAATAATGACTCCAAATCTCTTAAATTTCTCAACCTCAACTAATATATATGCATGTTTATATTGTTTATTTGAGTAGTTCGAGATTTTTTTTTGAACAATATGTGTGCGGTTGAGGGTAGGGATGTTCATGCCGCGCCCGCCAAATTCCCTGAAAAGTTTTGAGAGGTTCGGGGTGAGGATTCCCCATGGGAAATTTGTGGGATTGGGTTATGTGCGGGGAATTTTTCCTCATATATATTTTTTAATTATTTTTCAATAATTAATTTTTTCTTAAAGAAAATTTTATCTAATTGCGGTCTAACTCTCTCAAATATATATTAGGTGGGTCGGTAGATAAGAATACATTATTTTTTTAGTACATGTATAATAAAAAGGATATAATTATTTTAGTATGTATGTATGTGTATATATATTAAAAAATGACGCGGGATGGGGAACCGGGAACGTATTCCCGTCCCTGTCCCCATTTAGGTGGTGTGGAAAGTTTTTTTCCCCATCCTCCCCGTGAGGAATTTAAACGGAGATTTCCCGTCCCAATTAGGCGGGCCCCCATAGAGACGGGGTCCCATGGAAAAAATGAATATCACTAGTTGAAGATTCGAACTATTAACTTTTGAATAGAGAGGTGTACCAATTACCGTTGAATTAAGCTCATGTTGACTAACAACCGAATTTTTTTTACTTCAATAAACATTTTCACATAAGTGTAAGGAAAGGAAAGCATAAACTAACAAATAAAAGATGTTAGAAACTTGAAATTGTATAATTATAATTATATATATACTACATTTATTTAAATATTTTAATTGTCACATTTAAGTAAACTCATCAATAAACTAGTTTCAAAAAGAAAAAAAAACTCATTAATAAATCCTTTTGTAGTAAAATAAAAAATTTTACGTGCACGTGAGTATATTAAAAAGTGAGAATGTGAGAAAAATATTTTAAAACTATTTTGTCCCTTTTTTAATTATTAGTTTACAAAGTATCCCATTTATTAATTTTTTCCAAAAAATAATTTATTATAAATATTAAATTAACTATTTCATTTATACTATTCCACCGTTCCAAATACTTACTTTTTCTCTCATTTATTCGATAGCGCTATCGAATAAATATAAAGTTAAAAAAGTCCTCAAGCTTATTCGAAAAATTTGTTGGGACAAATATCAAAGCAATCAAATTTAACAAATTAGAAGATATAATTTTCATTTTCGAACGACTAAGAAAATTGCTTTTGAAGCTTTGTAGGTAACTACCAAGAAGCTTTTGATCATGTCTAGAGCTATAATTTCACTTTAAAATGATACTAATACAATTATTGAGAGCATGACCCGCTCAAAATGGAGCGTAACTAAGGAATACTTAAGAGAAAAATTATATTATGAAAAAAAGTGAACTACAAAATGGTTTTCCATGAAACTTATTGTGATTCTAAGCCCGAGAAAAAGATTAATCAATTGATGGAGCATCAGCAGGGGCAACTTCAGCACAGATGGGAGGGTTTTGCTTTCCAGTAATGACGGGTTTCACATTTGCACACTGAGATTTAATTGGTCCTTGACTTCCGTTGTAAGTAAGGTCTATATCAGCAATTTCCACACCCTCACATGGTACACTTTTGCTGCAAACAATTTTGACTGCGATCGGCGTAGCAGAAGTACCTCTGATATTCTTGAAGCTAACTTTACTGATTTTAATGCTTGATGGAACCTGAATTGAACAAAAAAAAAAAGCATTATTGATATATATAATTCAACTTTGCATCTGTTTTTTTCTAAATACCTTTCGAAGTTAATAAAAAATTGCACATGAATGAGACAGTTTTAATACATACCTTTCGGTTGCATTGATTCCATGGACAATATTCTTGGTCTATAATGATGGGAAAGCTAACGTTAGTCATTTCAATATCTTCGAAATGCATGTCAGTGGCTGGGAATGAGACAGCAGCATCTGGCCATGTTTTGATCCTAACACCATTCGAAGTATTGATTAATTTGCATTTTTTTACTGTAACTCCTACCACTTCTTTCTCCTTGGTGTACTTGCCCAAACTTCCTATGCTAATGCCATGTCCAGGTCCGCAAGTCACATCACTAATAACAATTTGTTTGTTAGTATCTCCAACAGATATACAATCATCGCC